CTGCAGTGAATTATTTTGTTGCACTTGTTCTGCATTTGAATTATTTTTTTTAATTGATATTTTTATGAATTATATTTTAATTTTGTTTATGCATTTTGAAATTTACTTAAATTTCCCAGTTAAAAATTTAGAAATTTTTTAAATTTTCTACTTTTTACATTGATTTAAATTTTAAATTAATTACTTTCTTTTAGCAGAGTAAAACACCCTCATTTTGCATTTAATCAGTCTCCAGTAATATTTTTACTTTATTTTTACAATGTAATTTTTTTTTTCTTGACCATAGTCCTTTACATTGATTGCCCTTTCCTTGCAGTGTACTTGACATTTTTTTATACTTTTTGCAAATAGTTGCATCTCTTTATTCCCAATTTTAGCATTTTTTTATCATTTTTATTGTTCATTATTTTGCCTTAATTGTTTTTGTGCAACTCCTTTGCCATTATGTCTCATATACCGTCAAGTGATACTTTAGTGAATGTCGACACTCAGACCTCTCAGGCTATTTGCTGCCCCTGTCATCAGTCCTCACAATTCCTTAGCGACTGACAGACCGACCCAGACACCGAGATACTATATGTTATACTCGTGATTCCCTTGATGCTTACCTTTATTCAGTGGCCATGTACATAGTCTTGAAGCTGGTTTGCGGCCATTCGTTCTCGTGCTGGTGCTCTAGTTGAGGTCCTCCTTCAGAGGAAAGTCTTATCAGACTTGCTAAGAAGCTCTTCATCGATCCCCTGCTGCTGTTCACGTTGTTGATCTCCTTGATATGCGTGACTTCAGGAATCTTACTAAGTGGTCACAATATGAGGAACTGATTCGTTCTTTCCTTGTCCCAGTAAAACCACTGATCCATATGTCGTTCTTAGGGAACTAGTGAATGCTACACCCATGAGTAATGAATCGTTGAGTGCATTTGCTGTTAGATTAGACAAACTTTTATCTTTCATTTTAAATGCGTCCAGCCCATCAGCTTTTCTCCTGAAGAGGTTAAACCATTCACAAAAACCGTTTGCTAAATTAGCAGCTTTTTGGAGCAATTAAAGAACTAATGCCACTGCTTCCTTTGTGCTTATGGGGTTTCATTCAACTGTGCGAGGGAACCACTTCAGCCTTAAATCATGTATGTCCTTGTGCCCAGGGTACTTTCCCATGTATCAAAGTAATTTCCACCTCTGCCTCAGTCTGCACCACTCTTGTTTGCGCCACAGAGACAAATCGTGGTCGTCAACCATCTCCGGGGTCACCAAGAACCAGTGTACAGAGTCGTTATAAACCTCGTAGTATTCATAGTACATTCAGTAACCATAGTCGGCGGACTTGTTACAACTGTGGTTTCCGTGGCCATTTTGGGCAATTAATTGTCCTGATAGTTACCCTAAGAGACGTCGTACTGATGATGAGTACCCAGATCTTCCCTACTGTACTTATCATAGAATACATGGACATGACACATCTGAGTGCAATGCTCTCTATAACCTTCAGTTATTTCTAGGTCTTTCCTTTGGCCGTTCCAACTGCAGAACCCGTAGAGGAAACAGATATCGTGGTTCTCAAAATAACCAGAACCAGCTTATTCTTCCAATTCTCAAAAATACCAGAAACCAGGCTCATTCTTCCAATTCGGGGGAATTCGAGCGCCCCAGTCAAACCGTCCCATGGTGACGTAGGTGATAATGAGTACACCACCCCCGTTCACAATTCCTTTGAAGCCTTAAGCAGTCTCGAGAATGACAAAACCTGCTGATGATGTTGCTTCACATGTCTCTGACATAGATGATTTTGGGGATGAAGTAGAACAAGTCTTTTTGATGACAATCCACCCTTTTTTTTTGCACATAACTTCCAATGCAACCATAGGCCCTATAGTGCAAGCATCTGTTTAAAAATGCGCCCGTTCATTTGTTCATGGACTTTGGTGCGCAAGGGCAATATTATTAGGTCTAGTTTGTTTAAGGATAAGCAGTTACGACATGTCCTTCTCGTAGAACCGACTCATGTGTCCTCCCTTAGTGGAGTAGCTGGTTCTCACCTGCGTTTTTCCGAGGTCGGACTTCCCTAACCTTTTCTATTCAAGGTAGAGACTTCACTGCTTCCTTCCTTGTTGTCGACCCGATTACTTTCCCCGGTGACCTTTTGTGGGCTTTGCTTCCATGCGAGACTTACGCATTGTGCTCGACCCTTATCGATGGCATGCCCAAATTGACGACTTTATCGTTCCATTCTGGGTTACCAGCTTGGATCCGAGATCTGCCATACTGCCCCAGAGTATGACACTCGAATTAAGTCCTTTCAGGCCAGTGCATTTTTCCAGTAGCGTACCCAAGCGGTCAGGCACTGATGATCCTGTCACTTTTTGTTGTGTTTTCCCGCAACTTCAGACTTGCAAGATAGTGTCCAGTTACCTGAAGTGTCCGAGGACGCTCTGACTACCTTGAGTGCTGAGCCTATCCCTGCAATGTCTGCTAGTTCAAGTAGTAGTTTCTCCACAGGGACGCCTTGTCGGAAAACAATTACTTGCAACTAGTAATGCCATCTCTTGTTGATGTCACATGCCGTCGCAGAAAGACGTTTCTGTCGCAGCTAGTGCCCTCCTAGAGTGTCTGTAGTTGTTCCTAGTGTTTTCCCGATGGTGATAACGTCCTAGTTGACAATGATTCTTGCAAAGTAAAAGGCCTATTTGTTGAACCATCCTTACATGTTGTAAGAGATAGTAAGATCCATTTCTTCCTAGCCAACACTTCTGGCACCAGTGTTTTCCTCAGAGCAAATACCAATCTTGTTGACCCTTGTTCACTATCCTTACCCTGTTCAGGTAGGTAGAGGATGAGTTGTCACCTGACCAGTGGGTTGGTGCTATTTCTGCCGGGGAGACCTCATCCACTTCACTGGATCAATCTGTTCCCCCAGTTGAGGAGAAAGACTTAGCTCCCCCTGACTTCCCGAGATGAAGTCAAGCGTTTGTTGACTCTGTTGAACAAACGTCGTAAAACCATTGCCTTACCAGGGGAGAAGATGGGTATAACGAATTATTTTCCCATCGTATTCCACTTGAACCTGGTACTAGACCTATCTACATACCTGCGTACAGAATTTCCTCATTCACAAATTGCTGTCGCAGAAGAATTGATCAATCAAATGCTTGATGATGGAGTTATTGCACCTAGCAATCCACTTTGGAATGCACCCTTGATCCTAGTACCTAAGAAGGATGGTACTTGGCACCCAGTGATTGACTTTAGGAAGTTAAATGCGAAAACTATTCCAGAACGCTTCCCACTTTCTGTACTGGGTGATCTTTTACGTAACATCGGAGATAAAGTCTTTTCAACCCTGGATTTGTTACAAGGGTTTTGGCAAGCCCCCCTTCACGAGGACAGCCAAGAGCTAACTGCATTCTCCACTCCTACAGGTCATTATCACTTCCTCCGTATGGCGTTTGGATTACGATCTTTCCCTATCACGTTCTCAAGGCTCATGACTAATATCTTTAGAGGTCTCATAGGTCATGCACTTATGGTGTACTTAGATGACTAATCGTCATGTCTAAAGACGTTGGATACACACTTGAAAAGACTTTATGTAGTACTTGGTAAGCTTGAAAAAAGCCAATTAAAGATCAAACTGTCTAAATGTCAATTTTTCAGATCAGAAAATTTAAAATTTTTTGGTCACGTAGTCACTCCTAGAGGGGTTACGACTGACCAAAGTAAAGTAACTGCAGTACTAAATTTTCCAACACCCAAAACTGCTGATGCCGTAAGACCTTTGTGGGCTTAGCAGGTTTTTATAGATCTTTCATTGCCAATTTTTTCTTCCATTTCCTGCTCCCCTAACTGAGTTGCTTAAGAAAGATGCTCCTTTTGTTTGGACCTTCTGTCAAGAAAGAGCATTCCAAACTCTAAAAGAAAAGCTAACATCTCTCCAATTTTGAAATTTCCAGATTTTTCTAAGCCCTTCTATCTGATAACTGATGCTAGTTCAATTGGCATAGGCGCCGTACTAGCTCAGAAGACCGATGGCAAGTACAACGCAGTTGCATTTGCTAGCCGAGTCCTTACGAAGGCTGAATGTAATTATACAGTAACTGAGCAAGAAGCTTTAGCAATAGTATGGTCTTTAAAATACTGTAACTCCCTGAAACCATCAATAATCAAATTATTGAAAATCTTATAGTACAAATCACCTTTTTGTTCATATACAAACTATACAGTATATAAAAAAATTAACCCATCTTTTCTTTCTATCAATTGACTGTCTCCCACTAAGCCTTTAAATACTTTCCCTAAATACAATATCTGATGGTTTTTCTTTGGATAAAAATCTGACATAGTATATTTTTAGCACAAATTGCACTCTTCTAAGGAAAAAAGAAAGGCCTAGTATCCTGAATAGAAAGTCTATCTGTACAATAAAAAAAATTAGGATTTTTAACACATCATATGTTTTTAAATACAGTGTATATGAAGAGGCATCATGATTTAGGTCTAATGTTTTTAATAAAATGTTAAGAACCCTCATGCTTTATTAGAGTTAAAAGTTTAAGAGTAGGTGATTTTTTTTTTTTTTCAATTTCAAAAACTTAATATTGCGTGAGCTCAAACTTTACAGTCACGTATGCCAAAACACCACATAAGACTGATTACATGAAATTTTAAAATATCTTGAGATACTGTATTATCAATTAAACTACAAGATGGAATGACTTTTAATTAACATCTGAAGAAAAAAAAAATGTTATCTACCCACACTATGTAAGATCAATTATTACAGTAGGACTTTAATACGGTACTGTATGAAAGACCTACTCTTGAATTTAAAAATCATGTTACTGTTACAAACCATTTACATGTTATTACCAAACAAATGAATAGCAAGTATACATTTTTTAATCACACTGGCCATTTCCTACCAAGGCAGGAGGACCCAAAACCTGGATTATTTTTATCACAAATACTATAACAGCTTGTGGAAAAAAAAAATTGTAACCAACATACCTTAATTTGTGCTTTTTCACCGAAAACATAGAGAGCAGCCTTGTGGAAGGATTGTACCGCTTCAGAACCAGTGTCAGAAGAATCAACAGAGAGTCTTGGCCCCGTGCTGATGCTGGAACGAAGGGCAGGGGTGGTTGTAGGGTAGTGGCGGAGGGTCCCAAGGGTCCCTCCAGCCCCACCACTGGACGGGACACCCAGTCGTGACCCGCGCATGGAGCCCCACCGCCCCATCCTGCCAGTACCCTTGCCCCCGCTTGTCCTGATAAAACGGGCAGGGGGGAAGGTCAGTACGTACAACAGTAGGCCACCTGGAGACCTGACTGAGTGACTGGCTGCCCGGATGTGAGGAGGTGAGGTTAAGAAGAGAGAAAGTGGTGGGGCATGCTGGTACAGATATGGGAAATAGAAGGCCACACGAAGAGTAGGTTGTTTATGGCCGAAGTATGTGCATACTAACATAATATATATATATAATATATATATATATATATATATATATATATATATATATATATATAATATATATACACCCTGCCTCGTGGGAGACGACCAACTTGTTGAAAAAAAAAAAATATATATATATATATATATATATATATATATATATATAATATATATACGGTATATATACTGTATACATAAAAGCAGAAATATCCTTTACAAAATAAATACAGCCAAGCATTTGTCTTTAATCCTCAAGTCTGTATGTTGCCTTTATAAAGCAAAAGCAAAAATAGCAAAAGCTAATATAACTACAGCTTTAGAATTTGTAATAAATGTCACCTTCCAAAGAATATTGTTTTAAGAATGGAAGCAAATTATTTAGTTAAAAATTGTCACAGGTCATGTAGTCAGCTGTTAAAACATTGTTTCTCAAGTATGGTTATAACTATGAAATATTTACGAGGCACCTGTAAATAGCACTGTTCATTAAAGGAAACAGTGATATCCTAGTTAATTAAATAAGAATGAGGCCCTACCATGACAGGTGACCAGTTCTGACAAATATGAGAGATGAACCTCTGCTAATCCTATCTATCTACAGAATTGAATCTAAGTCTCAAAAGCTGTGGTTGTAGCATTCTCTCTCTTATACCATGCAATCCCCATTAGAAAAATATTTTAGAATCTAAAGTATTTACAAAGGCTTAAAGAATTTAAGAGACAAAGGTAGATAAAAATTAAACATTAGCAGTAAATACAAAATGACAGTCAATGACAACACTTGAAATGCAGATTCATTTTAATCCAACCTACCCTTTTCTTTGTAACCATTTAAAAGAACTCAAGTATGCCGAATACAACAATGTGGAAAATAATATGTTCCTCTTAGGTACAAAACTACATTTGAATATTTATGCAAATACCTAATAAAATTCTTGAAAAACATTTTATTTATTTTCTACATTTTTTTATCTTGTCACTTCTAGGATTTTGTTTTCTTGGAGGATTGGCCTACAAAAAATCTAAATGCCTTTAAGTGTTCAAGACTCCAGAAAGAAAAAATAAATACCGAATTTACTAAAATATTTTAAAACCCTTGTTTGGTTATCCTACAATAAAATAGTTATTAATAACCTGAACTAAAAATCTAGAATGAGGATTGTCACAAGTAGATACAGGTGAGAAAATGGAATGGCAGATACGTGGAACTACCAAAAGAAAAAAGTACAGACATTAAGTTGAAGAATGGTAAAACAATGTTCAGTGCTGGGGCAATGTGAAAGTGGAGGAAATGGAACAAACTTATCATGCGACACTTGTGCAAGTGGGGATGTGATGATGCTTTAAACTCATATTTAAATATTTGCATATGCATGTGTTTTAACTTAAAAGGTGTGTTTTTGGGGCTTCAGGTCTCAACTCCTGGCTCTGCCTTTTAACTAATTGTACAACTGACTACCATTACTGGTTCCTGACCTCCTGGGATTTGTCATACATACTCCTGAAACTTATCTCGAGTTTGCTTCCACCACTGTAGTGTTAACAATTTGTGATTACATATCTGAAGCTACAGTGACACAGCTAGGCTTGTGGTGTACTATCTATATTTAATTTAAATTTTTTTTTTTTTAAATTTCTAATAGTTGTAGCTCCTATCTTCTCATGTACCCCATTCCACTGCCCCACCAGTTTGTGAAGAATACCACTGTTGTACTCTTTTGGAACCATTATTATTCAGTTTACAATTCTGCCCCCTTCCCCCTACCCTTGTTGATAAGTGTTAATCTTCCTGATGATCTCCTTCATATTCTTTTAGTATAATCTTCAATGGTTTGTGATCACCATATCTTCCCTTTTCCTGCTATCAGTCAATGAGGGGATTACATCTAATGCTGTAATGCTATAAGCTTTTTTTTGTGATAACTTATGTTGTTCAGCTCTAGAAGCCATTCTGTAGCTGGTGTCTGTAATTTGTTCACATTAGTTTAACTGCAGATAATACACCACTGTTTCATATTCCAACTTTGGTCTAACACTTTTTTTTTATAGTTACTTAGCATTTTCAAAGCCACAGAGATGATATTTCATTACAAACTAGGAATATAGTGAAGGCAAGAGGACACTACTTAATGGTAAAAGAATAAATATGTAGTGCTGGTACATTTTTCTTAAAGAAAGCTTTGACTATTTTGGTTTGTGCAAGTTCTAATTAGCCAGTTTTATTGAACAGATAGTTTCCATGCAATAACTGAAGGATGCCTCTTCTGGCTGGTTTCAAACCAAACACTGGCTTAATTTTTGCACTGTGAAGGTGCCAATTTGTTGTTTTTAAGAAAATGCAAAAATGCAACACCAGTTTTCATGCTATATGTATATGAATGCCTCCTCCCAATGGCTTTAGACATTTAATCCTTTAGCATTTGGTCATCAAAAAATTAAAGGGATTTGAATGTGCTTCTAGTATATTTAAGAACGTACTTAGGCTTTTTCCCTTGGTAGTTTTTTACGAACTTTTGCAAGCTAGTCCAGTCATTATCTGTACTTACAGGTGATTATGACTGACTGGGAAACATGCTCCCAAGTCTAAAACTATGCTTCACACCTTAACTCCTCACTAATTGGGAATAACATTAAGGCTATCTGATTCATTGAGGATGGCAAAAAGTTGTTCTAATGGCTTGCAGCAATCTTAACAACTTTCTGTGCATTAAGCTCTGCAAAGTCTCAATGTAGGCCTAAAAATGTACCCCTTTTGAGGGATACATTTTTTTTATCTGATAATGTGAAATTCCAGATAATTTGAAAACAAAAATATGCACTTCTTGGTATTACTTAACCCTTTGGGGGTTTCGGCCATACTAGTACGGCTTACGACCCAGGGTTTTTGACGTACTAGTACGCCTAAATTCTAGTGCCCTCAAATCTAGTGGGAGAAAGCTGGTAGGCCTACATATGAAAGAATGGGTCTATGTGGTCAGTGTGCACAGTATAAAAAAATCATGCAGCACAGTGCATAATGAGAAAAAAAAAACTTTGACCATTTTTTTGGAATACAACAGCGACTTTGCACTGTATTTTCGTATGGTATTTATTGTTGTATTCTAGTTTTCTTGGTCTCATTTTATAGAATGGAAGACATATTACAGAAATTGAGACGATTTTGACTGGTTTTACAATGAAAAGTACCTTGAAATTGAGCTCAAAGTAGCAGAAATGTTTGATTTTTACCAGTTCAAAAGTAAACAAATCATACCAAGCGTCCAATACACGTCAACTGGCAAGTCTAATATTCTTTCGCAAGTGTGCCAATATTATTTATACCATTTTTTACACTAATGCAGTAGTCTGCATAACAGTAAATCTTCTATTTTTTGTGAGAATAAAAATTCAAAGTGGAAAGCAAAAGAATGTAAGAGGGGCCTTCAGACGTAACTAATGAACAGAGGAAATGTTATTTTAGTGCCAGGAATGTCTTTCTTGTTTATTCTGGACCCTATTCGGAAATTGGCATCTTTTGAAATTTGTGTGAAATTGGCAAAATTGCTAAATTCTGACCACTGTACTGGATAGTTGAAACTGGTAAATGGGTGGTTTCTTGCACTCATTCGATAGAAAAAATGGAGTTCTAGCGAAATATTCATGCTTTCTGTTGACTAGTACAGTGGAATTGGCCGAAAATGGGGCTCAAAGTGGGCAAAATCGCCAATGCGTAAACATTGCCAAGACCGCTAACTTCGTGAGAGCATAATTCCATAAGTTTTCCATCAAATTTCATACTTTTGGTGTCATTATGATCGGGAAAAGATTCTCTATCTTTTCGTAAGAAATTTTTTTTTTTTTTAAATTTGGCCGACCCTGAGAACGAGTCTCAGAGAGGGCCTGTCAACCCTCAAAGGGTTAAGGTTCTCCTGGTTCCTTATGGATGTTTCTTCCCACAGGTCACATCTTATGGCACATTATCTCCAACAGATAATTTCTGTATGATATAGTCTTCTATAAAGTAACCCTGAATTATTTTTTATTTCAGTCTCGGTGATAAATGGCGAGTTCTAAATAAGCATCTTAATTTTAAAACAGAGGTTTCTATATTTTTATCTACACATTCTTTTAACCTTTTCATTGTCCAGACCCCTGATCTAAAACTTGTCCACAGTGTCCAAGAATTTTCCAAAAGACATAAATGGTTATTTTTGCTTATGAAATGGTAGAGAATCTTTTTTGAAGGTAATAAAACAAAAAGGTATGAAGTTTGATGGAAAATTGGCAAAATTGCACTAGTGAATTTTGCTGTATCATCGATATTTACACTTCGGTGATTTTGCCCACTTTGAGTTCTATTTTAGGCCAATTACATTGTCAGAAAACCAAATTCTTAAGCTATTTTGTTATTACGTCTTCCATTTTATTGATTGATCACAAGAAATTGTCCAATCAACTATTTCAACTACCTAATCAAGTGACCAGAAATTGGTAATTTTGCCAATTTCACACAAATTTCAAAATAGGGTCCAGAACAAACAATGCAGGCATTCCTGGCACTAAAATAATATTTCCTCTGTTCATTAATTACATTCCCAGGCTTTACATATGAATTCCATTTTGATTTTTTATACACAAAAAATTTTTATTCACACACAAAAAAATAGAAGATTTACCATTATGCAATAGAAATTTGATGGAAAATGCATATTAGACCCACCAGTTGGACGTGTATTGGATGAATGATGTGATTACTCGAATACTGGCAAAAATTGAACATTTCCACTACTTTGAGCTCAATTTCCAGCTATTTTCATTCCTGAAACCAATCAAAATCATCTGTATTTCTGTAATATATCTTCCATTCTATCACATGAGTCCAAGAAACCAAGAATACAACCATAAAAACCATACAAAAATACACTGCAAAGTCACTGTTTTAAAGGAAAAACACTGCCAGTATTTTCTCATTATGCACTGTATGCTGCAGGATTTTTTTACATGGTGCACACTTACCACAAAGATCTGTTCTCTCATATCTAGGCCCAAATTTACTGCTCACAGCTTTTGTGAGTGAGCTGAGCTCATAGCCTAGTACTATGGCACAGACAATGAAAGGGTTAATCTACTCATATTGGCAGGTCCTTATTATATGCTAGGAACATAGGCCCTGGTACTGATCCCTGGAAGTAATACTATCAATCTCCCACAGTGATGCTTGTCTCTGATACTGTATTCCTTAAATATACTAATATTCTTCCTCTTATCCTAGCATTTTTTCTCTAGTTTAAGTAGCTTTCTGTGTGCACATGTCTGTGTGAATACAAAATTATATGTTCTGAACTACCAATGTCAAGAAAGGAAAATTATTAAAGTACCACTAACAGCACTGAAGAAGAAAATAACAGTCTGTTATAAACCAAGTCAAAGCTTTGTAGTTTTTATGCTAGAGCAAGTTTAAGAAAATATAAGATGTATGTTGAAGATATTTAAGTAGCCATTATTATCCAAAACACTTCTAGTAGTATACAATGATGCCCTGATCTAGTGATAACATTCTGCAAAACCTTGCTTTAAAGAAAATACAAATGCAAACTAACACAAAACTATAATTTCAAGGTGATTGCACAATTGGTATAATTTGTAAACTGAGCTCTTAATATACAACTAAAATTTTTTGATATAAACAAATTCTATATCAATTTGGAAGCAAACACTAAAAAGCATTTGCAAAAAAAAAAAAAAAAGCATGAATGCACTTACTATGCAAGGTTCTACAGACAAATTTAGCTCATATTTAACATGCTGAGACCAAGCTAATATACAGTGCATGCAGTCAAGTTTCTATTTAATAATCTTTATAAAAGTTAGTCAAGTGTCTTCTCAGGAATAGAAACATCAGGAACTTTGCCTGGTTCAAAGATGGTAAGAAAGACATGCAATTTGTTAACCTGATACTGTTCTTCATGAGTTACAAGGATCTATATGTATATAAAGCAAATGTAGCACTAGGACCTTTATTATGGAAATATTTCACTCGCTGGAACTTTGTTAACCCAATATAGCAAATGAAAAAAAAGTTTATATGTAAGCTGGACAAGGTTAGGTGTAGAATATATGAACAGTCATAACTTGGAGAGGAATGTCAGGCACTGAAGTCACCTAATCACCTTATTTTGATGGGGAAATATCAGTTTAGTGAAGTACCTAGACAAGCTAAAACTACCTACACTCTGGACAACTGTACTGAACGTGGCAATCAATGCTGACTACACAAACTTTCACCTTTGTAAATAATTTCCCTTAATGACCAAGTATAAAGTGAATGTAGCTATCATCTCTATTACCATTAAGGATTATGTGAGGAAGAAAGCCAGTGAACTCGCTAAGTCTAATGCAGTTGTTTATGTTATTTAGTGAGACAGATGTGACAATTTATGTGGGCGAAACATCAAGGAGCCTTCAGCAGTATCTGAAAAAGTATGCACATACACTAGTAAAGATAATCTTAATGTATGCATCTGCACCAAAATTCCCATGGACACCTCACAAAGTGGGATGAAGCCAGACTAGTCACTAAGGAAAATGGTTTATAAATCCAAAATAATATGGAGTCAGCATTAACTGCCATATCCAATAGTCACCTAAAACCACTAGTTTTAGTTGGTCTGGGATGTTGGGTAAATTAATATTACCATCAAAACACAGTGATCAAGTGACCTCAGAAAGTTTCTGATTTCTCTCTCAGCTATGATCATCCATGCACTCTATATCTGAACTTGCCTAGCTTATATACTGTTTTTTTCTGTCTTTGTACTGGATTAAAAAAAAACTAATAGAGTAAAAAGGTTCCATAACAAATGTGCTAGGCCTGCACTTCCATATTATTTACATACAAGTATTTGGGATCATCTTTTAATGCAGATCATTATATTTTGACAAAACTGCAATTACAGTTTCATGCCTTCCCTTGATGAAATTCTAATACAAAACTTACTAGAATTTATTAAGGTATTGATATATATGTTACTAAAAGCAGGCAGGCAAATCAAACTAAACAGACTGTAGATGACATCTTTATGAAACTTCTTAGTAATGCTGCAATAAGATAATAAAGAAAATGCCAAGGAATTTCTAGCTGCATCTTAATGATGCAAACAAAAATTAAATTAGAGGATTTCTACTTTTATATGAAATACCTGTATATAGATGGAGGCTGACTAATTAAATTCAGAGAAAGAACATGAGGATAAAATCATAAGAAAAGCAAGGAAATTTATTCATCACATCAATGAGAGTTCTAAGAATGAATCAGATAAATGCCAATACTCAGTCAGTGCTTTATATATCAGGTTAGTCTGTGAGACTGTACAAAGTAAAAAAAAAAATTAGTAAACATGCTAAAAATCATTTGATATACAGTACTACATAAACAAGCAATGGAAATGTCTAATCATTTACGTTAAAGAAAATACAATTAAAAGCTTTAATTATACTGCAGTTTGCAATATTATCAGTTATAATGTCAAAACTAAAAACACATAAAATACTACCTTCATGCAGCATGCTCTTTACAGATGTAACAATATCAAGTAATACTGCATTGCTGGATACTGTCACAACTTGCTTTCAGCTTTGCAATAAAGGCCAAAACTATAGTTTAAGTTTGTATCTGCTATAATTCACTCATGAACCATGTACTGTACCTAAATCCAACATTTTTTTTTTTTTAGATACCTGATAGATCTGGCCTTGATTGCAACTGACCAATTAATTATGCAAGGCTGGATTATTTTCAAATTCTGAATTACAAGACAGTGATATCGTTCTCCTAAAGGTAAAACTGTAATGAAACTATGTCATGAATTCAAAGATATACTCACACTATTAATTACACTGAAAATGAGGGGCATCATCCGAATGTAAAGGTTTTGTAATTCAGTTAACATTAGTTTTGTTAGAAATCTAATATTACACACTTACTCTGTCACGTTGAGAAGAGAAGCAGGAGTGTTATGGCAGTACTACTTGAGCATGTATGGGAATCCACACATGTCCCATAGGGTTAAACAAGTCCTTATGTATCCACGGCTTTGCAGTGGATCATTTAGATAACTTACCGTAATGTGTTCATGGCCTTTGAAAGAGGATTTGTTTTTCTGCCAACTTCAGGTGTAAGCGTAGCATAAGTAGGATGATACTGGGGAACTTCTAGGGTAGGTCCCCCTGCTGCCAGCACCAGGGAGTTTATGGAAAGGGATGAGTCTGTGAGTCGCCATGAGGAACCATCTCGAAGGACAGACACTGGTGTTGACTGCACCACTGATGCTAAATACTTCTCTTGTTCAACTGAATGTGACACCTCACTAGTGTTGCCTGCGGGAAAACCATGACTTGAAACTTGAACTGTTTTTAATTTTTTTCTTTTAATATAAATATACGTATTTGCATTAAAAAATTTTAGTACAGTAGACCATCGTTTAATACTGTTTTGTGTGGCAGGTTTTGGTTATAGCACTACTGAAGAATTGTGGCATATTTTTGTGTAACACTTCGTAAAATTAACTTGACACAGCTCACTTTGCGGAAGGGGAAAAAATTTGGAGCGCGCGTCCACCCCAGACACTCCCGCCACCCTCATCCCAGCATTCGTTCATACATGTCCAGTTCCATTGTGTTAGGAACTAGCTGTGTTTGTGAATAATGTTTGATATTTTAATTGCCATATCCTGTATGTGCCAAACAATCATGGCACCCAGTAGGCATACCAATGTTGCTGAAAGTGGCAAGAAAAGATATAAGCATTTAAGTCTCAAGAGTTAATGAAGAAAATAGAGATACAGTAGACCGTCATTTAACACGGTAGTTACGTTACTGAAAATGCCGTGTTAGGTAAAACCGTGCTAGACGAACTGAAGAACATATGGGAAAAAATAGGGTTACATTCCTGGGAGCCCCCAAAAAACCTAACAACTTTTTTTTAGACCTCCACATCTTACAAAAATAAAAGTGAATATATAACTGTAGTTATAGGTAGTAGGTTGGTAGACAGCAACTGCACAGGGAGGTACTACCGTCCTGCCAAATGAGTGTAAAACAAAAGCCTGTAATTGTTTTACATGATGGAAGGATTGGTGTCCATTTTTCGTCTCATAAACATGCAAGGTTTCAGGTACGTCTTGCTACTTCTACTTACACTTAGGTCACACTACACATACATGTACAAGCATATATATATACGTATACACACCCCTCTGGGTTTTCTTTTATTTTCTTACTAGTTCTTCTTCTTCTTTCTTCTTTTAACAAACCGGCCATATCCCACCGAGGCAGGGTGGCCCAAAAAGAAAAACCAAAGTTTCTCTTTTAAATTTAGTAATTTATATGGGAGAAGGGGTTACTAGCCCCTTGCTCCCGGCATTTTAGTTGCCTCTTACAACACGCATGGCTTACGGAGGAAGAATTCTGTTCCACTTCCCCATGGAGAACACATACATATACAAGCATATATATACATACATACATACCCCACTGAGTTTCCTTCTATTTTCTTTCTAGTTCTTGTTCTTGTTTATTTCCTATCTCCATGGGGAAGTGGAACAGAATTCTTCCTCCGTAAGCTATGCGTGTTGTAAGAGGCGACTAAAATGCCAGGAGCAAGGGGCTAGTAACCCCCCCCCCCCTTTTTTTTTTCAACAAGTTGGCTGCCTCCCACCGAGGCAGGGTGACCCAAAAAAGAAAGAAATCCCCAAAAAGAAAATACTTTCATCATCATTCAACACTTTCACCTCACTCACACATAATCACTGTTTTTGCAGAGGTGCTCAGAACACACCAGTTTAGAAGCATATACGTATAAAGATACACAACATGTCCCTCCAAACTGCTAATATCCCAAACCCCTCCTTTCGAGTGCAGGCATTGTACTTCCCATTTCCAGGACTCAAGTCCGACTATATAAAAATAACCAGTTTCCCTGAATCCCTTCACTAAATATTACCCTGCTCACACTCCAACAGATCGTCAGGTCCCAAATACCATTCGTCTCCATTCACTATCGAACACGCTCATGCACGCCTGCTGGAAGTCCAAGCCCCTCGCCCACAAAACCTCCCTTACCCCTTCCTTCCAAGCTTTTCGAGGACGACCCCTACCCCGCCTTCCTTCTACAGATTTAAATGCTCTCCATGTCATTCTACTTTGATCCATTCTCTCTAAATGACCAAACCACCTCAACAACCCCTCTTCAGCCCTCTGAATAATACTTTTATTAACTCCACACCTTCTCCTAATTTCCACACTCCGAATTTTCTGCATAATATTTACACCACACATTGCCCTTAGACAGGACATCTCCACTGCCTCCAACCGCCTCCTCGCTGCTGCATTCACAACCAAAGCTTCACACCCATGTAAGAGTGTTGGTACTACTATACTTTCATACATTCCCTTTTTTGCTTCCACGGATAACGTTTTTTGACTCCACATATACCTCAACGCACCACTTACCTTTTTTCCCTCATCAATTCTATGATTAACCTCATCCTTCATAAATCCATCCACTGACATGTCAACTCCCAAGTATCTGAAAACATTCACTTCTTCCATACTCCTCCTCCTCAATTTGATATCCAATTTTTCTTTATCTAAACCATTTGATACCCTCATCGCTTTACTATTTTCTATGTTCACTTTCAACTTTCTACCTTTACACACACTCCCAAACTCATCCACTAACCTTTGCAATTTTTCTTTAGAATCTCCCATAAGCACAGTATCATCAGCAAAAAGTAACTGTGTCAATTCCCATTTTGTATTTGATTCCCCAAAATTTAATCCCACCCCTCTCCCGAACACCCTAGCATTTACTTCTTTTACAACCCCATCTATAAATATATTAAACAACCATGGTGACATTACACATCCCTGTCTATGACCTACTTTTACCGGGAAGCAGTCTCCCTCTCTTCTACACACCCTAACCTGCGCCTCACTATCCTTATGAAAACTCTTTACTGAATATAGTAACTTACCACTTATTCCATATAGTACTTGCAACATCTGCCACATTGTTCCCCTATCCACTCTATCACATGCCTTTTCTAAATCCATAAATGCAATAAAAACTTCCCTACCTTTATCTAAATACTGTTCACGTATATGCTTCAATGTAAACACTTGATCTACACATCCCCTACCCACTCTGAACCCTCCTTGCTCATCCGCAATCTTACATTCTGTCTTACCTCTAAGTCTTTCAATTATAACCCTACCGTACACTTTTCCTGGTATACTCAGTAAATTTATTCCTCTATAATTTTTACAATCTCTTTTGTCCCCCTTCCCTTTATATGAAGGGACTAAACATGCTCTCTGCCAATCCCTAGGTACCTTCCCCTCTTTCATACATTTATTAAACAAAAATACCAACCACTCCAACACTATATCTTCCCCTGTTTTTAACATTTCTGTCATGATCCCATCAGTTCCAGCTGCTTTACCCCCTTTCATTCTACGTAATGCCTCACGCACCTCCCTCACACTCGCACTGTATGGTTAACCTTTAGGAAATCACAAAGTGAGGGGCTTGTATAACAGTTATCTGTGAATAAATTTTGCCCCTTGCCATGATATAATACCATCATTCTCATGACAACAGCAGAATGTACACCAACCATCCGACTTATGACCTGCTCGACATACGACCACTCAACTTACGACCATGTTTTGCATGCCAAATTTCTGGGAAATAAACAACTGTTTGTTATGTACACAGTGTTTATCCTAAACCCTACAGTATAAAACACAGTACTAAAAGCATAAAAAGTAATGTAAAACATGAAATACCAGAATAAAACAATAAAATGAAGTCATTTCTAAAGTTTCCTTGCTTGTGTACTTAATAATACAGTAGACTCCAGGTTTTTGTAATTAATCCGTTTGTAATTAATCCAAAATGGACGAAAACCGAAGTAATATTTCCATGAGAAATAATGTAAATCCAATTAATCCGTTTCAGACACCCAAAAATATTAACAAAAAATAAATTTTATAGAGAATAACTATAGTGCTGCAGCTCTTCAGTAGTTAGTACATTCATTATTTCCCTTAAAATATTTGTAGTTTTAATGTAGGGCGAGAGAGGAGTAGTATTTATTTGTAGGAAGTCAGTGTACGTAGCCAGTAGATGTAAGTACACGTACGTAGTCCCTCTGGGCTACACCTACTGGCTACCTACACTGCAGAACACAGCCATATTATCATCGACACCATGTTCACTGAGTGTAATTGTTTCTAACAACTACCTTTAGAAGCCATCATAAACAAAGGGAGAAGTAATGAACAATTCATACCGAGAATTGTAAACAAATGCGTATGAAGGGCAGTGATTGGGCCAGACACCAGTTTCACAGTTTTCTCTAAGGCTGAATCAGATAAAACGTAATATTTACTCTCTACCCAACTCACCACTCGCAATGTTTATATGCCATGTAACGTGTTTCTTAAATAATTTTTAAGAAAATATAGATGGATGAATTCTAGGTAGTAGGTTGGTAGACAGCAACCGCCCAGGGAGGTACTACCATCCTGCCAAGTGAGTGTAAAACGGAAGCCTGTAATTGTTTTACATGATGATAGGATTGCTGGTGTCTTATTTTTCTGTCTCATACACATGCAAGATTTCAGGTATGTCTTGCTACTTCTACTTACACTTAGGTCACACTACACATACATGTACAAGCATATATATACACACCCCTCTGGGTTTTCTTCTATTTTCTTTCTAGTTCTTGTTCTTGTTTATTTCCTCTTACCTCATGGGGAAGTGGAACAGAATTCTTCCTCTGTAAGCCATGCATGTTTTAAGAGGCAACTAAAATGCCAGGAGCTAGTAACCCCTTCTCCTGTATATATTACTAAATGTAAAAGGAGAAACTTTCGTTTTCCCTTTTGGGCCACCCCGCCTTGGTGAGATACGGCCGGTGTGTTGAAAGAAAGATGGATTAATGAAAATGTCTGTACAAATGTCTGTATTAACCTAAAATAAGACATTTAATGTGCCCAAGAGTGATTATTATTATGTATTAGTATTATAACTATGGCGTCAAGACTAGAGGGACACTGTTAATGAGCGAGTAACAAAGGAGTGTTTATGTAATGTGTTTTGTATATATTTTGAAGAAAATATCATAGATGGATTAACCCTTAAATGGTCCAAACGTATATATACGTTTTTTCAACATCTGAAAGTATGTAAAAAAATGTAGATCTTTTTTTTTTGTTTTACATGTGAAAACGTGTAAAAATACTTTTATCTACATTTTTTTTGTTATATTTGAAAATATGTAAAAAAAAGTAGATCTACTTTTGTAGCACTACGAATTTGAATGTCGATCTGTTTGGACCGTTTAAGGGTTAATGAAAATGTCTATATTAGCCTAAAATAAGACATTAAATGTGCAGAAGAATGAGTCATGAACGTATGAGCGGCCCAGGTGAAAGTGTCTGGTACCAATGATTTCCAAGCGGATGCATGAAATCTGGGGGAAAATTTCACCAAAAAAAGACTATTTCTGAATTGGCCGATTTCCGCACCAGCCGAAAACCAGGGGCCACTGTATCTAATACTATACCAGTTATTCTCCTTCTTTCAACAAACCGGCCGTATCCCACCGAGGCACGGTGGCCCAAAAAGTAAAACAAAAGTTTCTCTTCCTAACTTTAGTAATGTATACAGGAGAAGGGGTTACTAGCCCCTTGCTCTTGGCATTTTAGTTGCCTTTTACAACATGCACGGCTTATAGAGGAAAGGTTCTTTTCCACATTCCAGTGGAAATACATGGAAATAGATAAAAACAACAAGACTGTTAAGAATATAAGAATATAGAAAATTTTGATGGGCGTATATACGTGTGTATGTAGTGTGACCTAAGTGTAAGCAGAAGTAACAAGATGTACCTGTTTTCTTGCATATTTACACGACAAAGAAAAGACACAAGCAATCCTACCATTATGTAAAACAATTACAGGTTTCCATTTCACTAGCATTAGGCAGGACAGTAGTACCTCCTGGGACTGCATATAAATCTGTAGTGGAAGGCAGGGTATGGGTTGTCCTTGGAAAGGATGGAGGGAGGAGATAAAGGAGGGTTTGTGTGAAGGGGCTTAGATTTCCAGTAAGTGTGTGCGAGCATGTTACATAGGTGCAAGTGGAGACAAGTGGTTTTCATGACGATGTGTTGTTGGAGTGTGAGCATAGTAACATTTATGAAGAGATTCAAGGAAACCGGTTAGACAGACTCGAGTCCTGGAGGTGGACTCTGAAGGAGGGGTGATGTGTTGCAGTTTTTGAATTATAGTGAAGGTGTGCCTCTGGCAAGGCAGTGATGGAGTGAATGATGATGAAAGTGTTTCTTCTTTTTCAGGTCACCCTGCCTCAGTGGGAAACAACTGATGTGTTAATAAAAAACAAAAATATACTGGTTTCACAATAACACAGTTTGATACCAAACCGATTTCTTTTGCTGCTTTGTGAATATTATCAGACACACATCAATGCTAATATTCTTGAAGGGATAAAAGAATTTGATGAATTCCTGTTTCAAGGGCATGATCATTTCCCTTATTTAGTACAACAAACCAACTCTAGGGATTACACTTGTCAGAGAACCATAACATACACAGTAACAATAAAAAGCAATTAACTGTCACTATGTCACTGAAAACTGATGTTGATAAAAGTTTACATGTACACATACTTCAATATACGAAGGTAGGAAAAATCGGGCAGACAAAGTACGTCATAGACAAATGTCCTGCTAGACGTATGCTGTACACAGTTTAAACATTAAACAAAATTTTTCCAAAGTTATACACGCCTAAAACAAACTTATACATACCTGTAGTCGTGGAAGATCCTATGAGCATACTCCTAACACCCATGCTATGAAAGCCAGCCCCTCTCAAAAGTAGAGCTTTAGTACGAGGGTGTCGCCAGGTGATAACTGGTAAGCGATTGTGGCGGTAACATCGAGCCAGGCGGTGAAGACTATCATCACCAGTAATGGACGGTACAGAGAGCAGAGCTGGATAGCTGTTAAAAACATGTGTCAAAAAAAAAAAAAAAGGCAGTTTTCCAATTTCATTCATGTTGAATATACATTTTCTTTAAATTCTAAATTTTCTAAGCATACAATTAAAACATTCTTCTTCTTTCAATGCACCGGCCACAACCCACCGAAGAGGGGTGGCCCAAAAGGAAATATGAAAGTTTTTCCTTTTAAATTTAGCAATACAGCCTCTTCTCACTTAATGACAGAGCTCCGTTCCTAAGACCATGTCGTTAAATGAATTCATCGGGAAGTGAGGAGCATACCATAATGGTAGTGAATTTGTGTCAACCATCCTCGATATTGTTTTTGTCACTTTTGCACCATTTATAACATTTCTAGTATATTTTTGAATGTTTATACAGTAGTGTACTGTAAACTGAAATAAACAGAAGAGAGGAAATCAGCTCTAATATACAATGGACCCCGCATACCGTTGGCCTTACATAATGTTAAATCCACATACCGATACATTTTATCGCTAAGATTTTGCCTCGCATACCGCTAAAAAACCCGCTCAACGCTGTTCGTCCGAGACACGTCTAATGTGCAGCCTTAGCCAGCCTCACATGTTCTGCCGGTGGCATTGTTTACCAGCCGGCCTCCGCGGTAACATCCAAGCATACAATCTGAACATTTCGTATTATTACAGTGTTTTTGGTGATTTTATCTGCCAAATAAGTGACCATGGGCCTCAAGAAAGCTTCTAGTGCCAACCCTACAGGAATAAGGGTGAGAATTACTATAGAGATGAAGAAAGAGATCATTGATAAGTATGAAAGTGGAGTGCGTGTCTCCGAGCTGGCCAGGTTGTATAATAAACCCCAATCAACCATCGCTACTATTATGGGCAACAAAACGACAATCAAGGAAGCTGTTCTTGCCAAAGGTTCAACTGTGTTTTCGAAACAGAGATCGTAAGTGATGGAAGATGTTGAGAGACTCTTATTGGTGTGGATAAATGAAAAACAGATAGCAGGAGATAGCATCTCTCAAGTGATCATAAGTGAAAAGGCTAGGAAGTTGCATCAGGATTTAATTAAAAAAATGCCTGCAACTAGTGATGATGTGAGTGAATTTAAGGCCAGCAAAGGTTGGTTTGAGAGATTTAAGAAGCGTAGTGGCATACATAGTGTGATAAGGCATGGTGAGGCTGCCAGTTCGGACCACAAAGCAGCTGAAAAATATGTGTAGGAATTCAAGGAGTACATAGACAGTGAAGGACTGAAACCTGAACAAGTGTTTAATTGTGATGAAACAGGCCTGTTTTGGAAGAAAATACCAAGCAGGACCTACATTACTCAGGAGGAAAAGGCACTCCCCAGGACATAAGCCTATGAAAGACAGGCTTACTCTGTTGATGTGTTCCAATGCTAGTGGTGATTGCAAAGTGAAGCCTTTATTAGTGTGTCACTCAGAAACTCCCAGAGCGTTCAGGCAAAAGAATATCCTCAAGGCTAATTTGTGTGTGCTGTGGAGGGCAAACAGTAAGGCATGGGTCACTAGGGACTTTTTCTATGACTGGTTACACCATGCATTTGCCCCCAATGTGAAAGATTACCTAACTGAAAAGAAATTAGACCTTAAGTGCCTCCTGGTGCTAGACAATGCCCCTGGTCATCCTACAGACGTGGCAGAGCGACTTTATGGGGACATGAGCTTCATTAAGGTGAAGTTTTTGCCTCCTAATACCACTCCTCTCCTGCAGCCCATGGACCAGCAGGTTATTGCAAACTTCAAAAAACTGTACACAAAAGCTGTGTTTGAAAGGTGCTTTGTAGTGACCTCAGAAACTCGACTCTAAGAGAGTTTTGGAGAGAGCATTTTAATATCCTCAATTGTGTAAACCTTATAGGTAAGGCTTGGGAGGGAGTGACTAAGAGGACCTTGAACTCTGCTTGGAAGAAACTGTGGCCAGAATGTGTAGACCAAAGGGATTTTGAAGGGTTTGAGGCTAACCCTAGGAATCCTATGCCAGTTGAGGAATCAATTATGGCATTGGGGAAGTCCTTGGGGTTGGAGGTTAGTGGGGATGATGTGGAAGAGTTGGTGGAGGAGGACAATGAAGAACTAACCACTGATGAGCTGCTAGATCAACTTCAACAGCAAGAGGCCAGACCTGAGGAAACTGGTTCGGAGGAGGGGAGAGAGAAATTGAAGAATTTGCCTACTACAAAGATTAGGGAAATCTGTGCAATGTGGCTGAAAGTGCAAACCTTTATGGATGAAAATCACCCTCACACAGCTATTGCAAGTCGTGCTGGTGACTATTACACTGACAATGTTGTGAAACACTTTAGGGAAGTCATAAAGGAACGAGAGGTACAGGCCACTATGGACAGATATGTTGTGCGACAGAAGTCCAGTGACTCTGAAGCTGGTCCTAGTGGCATTAAAAGAAGTAGGGAAGTAACCCCAGAAAAGGACTTGACACCTCAAGTCTTAATGGAATTGGATTCCCCTTCTAAACACTAAGACTCTCTCCTCCTCCCATCCCATCAATCATCACAAGATCTTCAATAAAGGTAAGTGTCATGTAATTGTGCATGCCTTTTTCAGTTTGTGTGTATTAAAATTAATATTTCATGTGGTAAAAATGTTTTTTTTTTCATACTTTGGGGTGTCTTGCACGGATTAATTTGATTTCCATTATTTCTTATCGGGAAAATTCATTCGCATAACGATAATTTCGCATAACAATGAGCTCTCATGAACGGATTAATATCATTATGCGGGGGTCCACTGTACATTATTTAGGTATGAATACTGGTCAGAGAGCCCATCATAAGTCTGAGGTGTCGGTAAACGAGTACGTTGCTAAGTGAGGAGAGGCTGTATATACAGGAGAAGGGGTTACTAGCCCCTTGCTCCTGGCATTTTAGTCGCCTCTTACAACAACTACAGGTCCTCCATCACAAATCCGGCATCACTGTGACCTGTAGTGTACCGGATTACTGAGTTTGCCAGATCACAGAGTGGTTAGGTTAGAATACACTTAATAAAATTAACCAACTTGACTTGCACAAAGTTCATTGAACATCGGCAAAAATCGAACATTTCCGTTACTTTGAGCTCAATTTCAAGGTACTTTTCATCATGAAAGCAATCAAAATCATGTCTACTTCTGTAATATATCTTCCATTCTATCAAATGAGACCAAAAGACGAGAATACAACCATAAAAACCATACGAAAATATACCACAAAGAGGCGGCTAATGGCTGAGAAGTGAACTCCCTTATTTATCGTCCATCTTTTTTATTTTTGGTGTACATTAAGAAGCATCTTTCCATCATACATTGCCTAAGTTTCAATGAGAAAGCCTAACAAACAACTGAGAAAAAAGCAATATTTACCAAAAATCATGGCAAGCCCAAGTCAGGTACTGGAAATGAGTCACTGACTTTTTTGAGTTATCCTAGGTTCTCTACACATATGCTGCTATGTATGATAATCTATGTAACTGTATTGTGTATAGTGCCTGAATAAACTTACTTACTTACTTCTAGTCTGTCAACTGAGTATGAGAAACTGCCCATTCACCTATTTCAACTACCCAATAAATTTTTTTTATTAACACACTGGCCGATTCCCACCAAGGCAGGGTGGCCCGAAAAAGAAACACTTTCACCATCATTCACTCCATCACTGTCTTGCCAGAAGGGTGCTTTACACTACAGTTTTTAAACTGCAACATTAACACCCCTCCAATAAAGTGGTCAGAAAATGGCAATTTGGCCAATTTCACAGATGCCAATTTCAAAATAGGGTCAGAATAGACAATGTAGATATTCCTGGCACTAATATAACATTTTCTCTGTTCATTAGTCATGGCTCCAGGCCCCTCATATATTACTCTTGCTTACCACTTGGAATTTTTCACACACAAAAAAAATGGAAGATTTACTGTTATGCAGACTACTGCATTATTGTAATAATTGTATAATGTCAACCCATTCTTGACTGCCTATTGGAATTTGGATTGGCAGGTGGACAGGTATTAGACGGTGACGTCATTTGTTTACTCGAGCATCGCTAAAGAATAGAACTTTTCTGCTACTGTGAGCGCAATTTCAAGGTACTTTTCTTCATGAAAGCAATCAAAATCATATCTATTTCTGTAATATATCTTCCATTCTATCAAATGAGACCGAAAAAACTGAGAATATAACTATAAAAACCATACAAAAATATACCGCTAAGCGGCCGCTAATGGCTGAGAAGTGAACTCCGCTATTTATGGTCCGATTTCTTTCATTTTTGGTGTACATTAAGAAGTATCTTTCCATCACACATTGCCCAAGTTTCAATAAGATAACCCAACAAATAAATGAGAAAATAACAATAACAATAATTTACTACACATACATGTACATGGGATACAGACACAGCTGACATCAGTGACATACTACTATATAGAAAGCCGCCTGTCATGCAGAATATTTCAAGCAAATTAGGTCATTGTCCCAGGATAACACCCACACCAGTCGACTAACACCCAGGTACCCATTTACTGATGGGTGAACATAGACAACAGCTGTAAAGAAACGCCCAGTGTTTCTACCCTGGCTGGGAATCGAATATTTACCAAAAATCACATATGGCTAACCCAAGCCAGGTACTAGAAATAAGCCACATTGTCTGACTTTTTTGGATTATCCTAGGTTCTCTACACATATGCTGCTGTGTGGTAATCTATATAGAGAAAATAGCTTTTTTTGTTTCAGGTTTATGGTGCAGTATGAGTGTATATCACAGTAAGCCCTGTGCTACACTCCATTTTCTCTAATATATGCCCCAAGACAGGGATAGGAGAATGGTACTTGTATCTCGTATGCTCTTCATACCTCGAACTGCTCAGTATTATGCCAAATATTATTCATTCTGGAGTATTTAACATGTTTTATGTTATTTATATTGTTTATTATGTCATATTTGATCAACTGTGATAGGCAATAAGCTGTAGTGTTGATATTAGTGTAATA